AGCTACATGCCATAAACATAATCTTATCCACTGCACAGACACTATCTCCTATAAACATAATTTTATCCACTACACAGACACTATCTCCTATAAACTGAAACTAATCCACAACACAGACGCTATCTGCTATCATCCTAATCTCATCAACTACACAGACGCTATCTGTTTTCAACTGAATCTCATCCACTGCACAGACAGTATCTGCTATAAACTGAACCTAATCAACTACACAGACGCTATATCACATGAACTTAATCTAATCCACTACACAGACACTATCTCCTATAAACTGAGCCTAATCCACTACACAGACGCTATGTGACATGAACTTTATCTAAACCACTACACAGACGCTATCTCCTATCAACTTAATCTCATGCACTACACAGACGATATCTGCTTTCAACTTAATCTGATCCACGACACAGACACTATCTGCTTTCAACTTAATCTCATCAACTACACAGACACTATCTGCTATAAACATAATCTTATCCACAACACAGACACTATGTGATAAACCAATCTATTCCACTACACAGACACTATCTGCTATAAACTGAGTCTATTCAACTACACAGACGCTACATGCTATAAGCTTAATCTAATCCACTAAACAGACACTAATTGCTGTCAACTTAATCTCATCAACTACAAAGACACTATCTCCTATTAACTTAATCTCATCCACCAAACATACGCTATCTGCTTTAAACTTAATCTCATCCACTACACAGACACTATCTGCTGTAAACATAATCTGATCCACAACACAGACACTATGTGATAAACCTATCTAGTCCACTACACAGACACTATCTCCTATAAACTGAGTCTAATCCACTACACAGACGCTATATGCCATAAGATTAATCTTATCCACTACACAGACCCTATCTCCTATAAACTTAATCGCATCAACCACACAAACACTATCTGCTATAAACATCATTTCATCCACCCCACAGACAATATCTCCTAGAAACTAAATCTCATCCACCCCACAGACAATATCTGCTATAAACTAAAACTCATCCACCCCACAGACAATATCTGCTATAAACTTAATCTCATCCACCCCACAGACAATATCTGCTGTAAACATAATCTTATCCACAACACAGACACGATCTGATAAACCTATCTAATCAACTACACAGACATTATATGCTTTCAACTTAATCTTATTCTCTTAACAGACAATATCTCCTAGAAACTAAATCTCATCCACCCCACAGACAATATCTGCTATAAACTAAAACTCATCCACCCCCTAGCAATATCTGCTATAAACTAAATCTCATCCACCCCACAGACAATATCTGCTGTAAACATAATCTTATCCACAACACAGACACGATCTGATAAACCTATCTAATCAACTACACAGGCATTATATGCTTTCAACTTAATCTTATTCTCTGAACAGACATTATCTGCTATGAACTTAATGTCATCCACTACAAAGAAACTATCTGCTATCAACTGAGTCTAATCCACTCAAGACGCTATCTCCTATAAACTTTATCTTATTAACTACACAGACACAATCTGCTATAAACTTAATCTAATCCACTACACAGACGCTATCTGCTATCAACCTAATCTCATCCACTACACAAACACTATCTGCTATAAACTGAGTCTATTCAACTACACAGACGCTATATGCTATAAGCTTAATCTTATCCACTACACAGACGCTATCTCCTATAAACTTAATCTTATCCACTACACAGACACTAATTGCTGTCAACTTAATCTCATCAACTACAAAGACACTATCTCCTATTAACTTAATCTCATCCACCAAACATACGCTATCTGCTTTAAACTTAATCTCATCGACTACACAGACACTATCTGCTATAAACATAATCTGATCCACAACACAGACACTATGTGATAAACCTATCTAGTCCAATACACAGACACTATCTCCTATAAACTGAGTCTAATCAACTACACAGACGCTATATGCCATAAGATTAATCTTATCCACTACACAGACCCTATCTCCTATAAACTTAATCTTATCCACTACACAGAAACTATCTCCTATAAACTTAATCGCATCAACCACACAAACACTATCTGCTATAAACATAATTTCATCCACCCCACAGACAATATCTGCTATAAACTAAATCTCATCCACCCCACAGACAATATCTGCTATAAACTAAAACTCATCCACCCCACAGACAATATCTGCTATAAACTAAATCTCATCCACCCCACAGACAATATCTGCTGTAAACATAATCTTATCCACAACACAGACACGATCTGATAAACCTATCTAATCAACTACACAGACATTATATGCTTTCAACTTAATCTTATTCTCTTAACAGACAATATCTCCTAGAAACTAAATCTCATCCACCCCACAGACAATATCTGCTATAAACTAAATATCATCCACCCCACAGACAATATCTGCTGTAAACATAATCTTATCCACAACACAGACACGATCTGATAAACCTATCTAATCAACTACACAGACATTATCTCCTATAAACTGAGTCTAATCCACTACTCTGACGCTATATGCTATCAACTTAATCTCCTCAACTACACAGACACTATCTGCTATAAACTTAATCTTATCCACTACAGAGACACTATCTGTAATAAACTTAATCTAATCCACTACACAGAGACTATCTGCTATAAACTTTATATAATCCACTACACAGACACTATCTGCTATAAAGTTAATCTTATCCACTACACAGACGCTATCTGCTATAAAGTTAATCTTATCCACTACACAGACACTATCTGCTATAAAGTTAATCTTATCCACTACACAGACACTATCTGCTATAAACTTAATCTTATCCACTACACATACACTATCTGCAATAAACTTTATATAATCCACTACACAGACACTATCTGCTATAAAGTTACTCTTCACCGCTACACAGACGCTATCTGCTATAAAGTTAATCTTATCCACTACACAGACACTATCTGCTATAAACTTAATCTTATCCACTACACATACACAATCTGCTATAAACTTAATCTTATCCACTAGGCAGACACTATCTGTAATAACCTTAATCTAATCCACTACACAGAGACTATCTGCTATAAACTTAATCTAATCCACCACACAGGCACTATCTGCAATAAACTTTATATAATCCACTACACAGACACTATCTGCTATAAAGTTAATCTTATCCACTACACAGACGCTATCTGCTATAAAGTTAATCTTATCCACTACACAGACACTATCAGCTATAAAGTTAATCTTATCCACAACACAGACACAATCTCCTATAAACTTAATCTTGTCCACTACACAGACACTATCTGCAATAAAGTTAATCTTATCCACTACACAGGCACTATCTGCTGTAAACTTAATCTAATCCACTACAGAGACACTATCTGCTATGAACCTAATACCATCCACCACACAAACACTATCTGCTGTAAACTTAATCTAATCCACTACAGAGACACTATCTGCTATGAACTTAATGTCATCCACTACACAGACACTATCTGCTATAAACTTAATGTCATCCACTACACAGACACTATCTGCTATAAACTGAGTCTAATCCACTACACTGACGCTATATGCTATCAACTTAATCTCTCAACTACACAGACACTATCTGCTATAAACTTAATCTCATCGACTACACAGACGCTATATGCTATAAACTTAATGTCATGCACTACACAGACACAATCTGCTTTAAATTTAATCTCATCCACTACACAGACTTCACAGACACAATCTTCTATCAACTAAATCTCATCCACTACACAGACAAGTTCTGCTATAAACTTTATCTCATCCACTACACAGACACTATCTGCTATAAACTTAATCTCATCAACTACACAGTCACTATCTGCTATAAATTTAATCTGGTCCACTACACAGACACTATGTGATAAACCTATCTAATCCACTAAACAGACATTATCTGCTTTCTACCTAATCTTATTCACTACACAGACACTATCTGCTATAAACTGAGTCTAATCCACTACTCTGACGCTATATGCTATCAACTTAATCTCCTCAACTACACAGACACTATCTGCTATAAACTTAATCTTATCCACTACAGAGACACTACCTGTATTAAACTTAATCTAATCCACTACACAGAGACTATCTGCAATAAACTTAATCTAATCCACCACACAGGCACTATCTGCAATAAACTTTATATAATCCACTACACAGACACTATCTGCTATAAAGTTAATCTTATCCACTATACAGACGCTATCTGCTATAAAGTTAATCTTATCCACTACACAGACACTATCTGCTATAAAGTTAATCTTATCCACTACACAGACACTATCTGCTATAAACTTAATCTTATCCACTACACATACACTATCTGCAATAAACTTTATATAATCCACTACACAGACACTATCTGCTATAAAGTTACTCTTCACCGCTACACAGACGCTATCTGCTATAAAGTTAATCTTATCCACTACACAGACACTATCTGCTATAAAGTTAATCTTATCCACTACACAGACACTATCTGCTATAAACTTAATCTTATCCACTAGGCAGACACTATCTGTAATAACCTTAATCTAATCCACTACACAGAGACTATCTGCTATAAACTTAATCTAATCCACTACACAGACACTATCTGCTATAAAGTTAATCTTATCCACAACACAGACACAATCTGCTATAAACTTAATCTTGTCCACTACACAGACACTATCTGCAATAAAGTTAATCTTATCCACTACACAGGCACTATCTGCTATAAAGTTAATCTTATCCACTACACAGAGACTATCTGCTGTGATACCATCTCTCAGTTCATACATTATAGAAGTTGCCTCCGTGAAAATAGCAGATGACTGAGTGAGTGTATGGCGAAATGGTAGGTTGCGTAGAAAGGTGGGTAAGTGAGTGTACGAGTGGCTATGAGGTTAGTTACGAAAAGTGATGACTCAATCTTTTAAGGACTTACCATAAACGTTGAGATGTACATATTTCAGTGTTGTTTTGCCTCTATTTATGACACGGCATGTGTATTGTCCACGGTCTTCAATTTTCACGTCATCAAACTGCAAAAGCGTTCTCAGAGGAAACTGTTTTGTGTAGATCCTGCAAAATAAAAGAGGTAACTAAATAAGAAGACAAATACGACACGTTTTCTCACTTTTGTGCGGGTTCTTTTCTGATATTCGACACTCGAAAATGTCATCATGAATACGTATGACTTAGTATCTCCTACGTAGGACTTGCTATCCCCTACGTATGACTGAGTATCTCCTACGTAGGACTTACTATCTCCTACGTAGGACTTAGTATCTCCTACGTAGGATTTAGTATGACCTAGAATTACTATCTCCTACGTAGGACTTACTATCTCCTACATAGGACTTAGTATCTCCTACGTATGGCTTACTATCTCCTACGTAAATCTGTAGGTCATAATCAACACTTGTTATATTTTTACCAACCGTGATTGAGAAAAAAGGCTTTCTTATGAATATTAGTTTCAGCGGTGATGCGGATTTCAAATAGGCTGTTGCACTTCTTATTCTTATTTTAAACCTCAGGAGATTATGTATTACTTGTTATCCCCTACGTATGACTTAGTATCTCCTACGTATGACTTGCTATCCCCTACGTATGACACTATCTCCTACGTAGGACTTAGTATCTCCTACGTAGGACTTAGTATGGACTAGAACTACAATCTCCTACGTAGGACTTAGTATCTCCTACGTAGGATTTAGTATGGACTAGAATTACTATCTCCTACGTATGACTGAGTAGGACGTAGGACTTAGTATCTCCTACGTAGGACTTGCTATCCCCTACGAAGGACTTACTATCTCTTACGTAGGACTTAGTATCTCCTACGTATGACTTACTATCTCCTACGGACTAAGTATCTCCTACGTAGGACTTAGTATGGACTAGAAGTACTATCTCCTACGTAGGACGTACTATCTCCTACGTAGGACTTACTATCTCCTACGTATGGCTTACTATCTCCTACGTAGGACTTAGTATGGACTAGAATTACTATCTCCTACGTAGGACTTACTATCTCCTACGTAGGACTTATTATCTCCTACGTATGACTTAGTATCTCCCACGTAGGACTTACTATCTCCTACGTAGGACTTAGTATGGACTAGAATTACTTTCTCCTACGTAGGACTTAGTGATTCTAGGCCATACTATCTCCTACGTAGGACTTAATATCTCCAACGTAGGAGATACTAAGTCCTACGTAAAAGATACTTAGACAGAAAAATTCACCGTGGCCCTGCAATGCTTCCGTACTCAATAACACCCGAAAATATTTAAAACACGATGCTATGACGACATGAAATAATTGATAACGTCATATGCTTGCTTTATAGCTGAATCCGGCTTGTTAGCAGAATGTGGATCAAACCCAACTACATCAAAGTTGTTCTGATAAAAATTAAGCAAACTTAACATACTCTCCCCAAAAACACATATACGAAAAGCATGTGTTTATACAACTTCTATTTATACCATTCGCTCGTCACGCGGAAGACCCGGGTTCGATTCCCGACATGGGTACAATGTGTGAAGCCCATTTCTGGTGTCCCCCGCCGTGATATTGCTGGAATATTGCTAAAAGCAGCGTAAAACCATACCCACTCACTCACTCACTCTTTTTATACCAAATTTAGCAACTAAGTAGGACAAGTTTTAATGTCAATTTCCACATTCAAAGGAGAGGTGCGCTGTATCACTGTTCTTCATCGTCTGTATGATGGTTATTCCTCGTCCGTATCACTGTTCTTCATTGCTCGTATCTCTGTTCTTTATCGTTCGTGTCACTATTCTTCATCGCCCGTTTCACTGTTCTTCATCGCCCATATCTCTGTTCTTCATCGTCCATATCACTGTTCTTCATCGTCCGTATCAATGTTCTTCATCGCCCATATCTCTGTTCTTCATCGTCCATATCACTGTTCTTCATCGTCCGTATCAATGTTCTTCATCGCCCATATCTCTATTCTTCATCGTCCATATCACTGTTCTTCATCGCCCATATCTCTGTTCTTCATCACCCGCATCACTGTTCTTCATCGCCAATATCTCTGTTCTTCATGGCCCATATCTCTGTTCTTCATCGTCCGTATGACGGTCGGTTCTCCCTCTGTAGCACTATTCTTCATCGCCCTTATCACTGTTCATCGTCAATAGATTTAACGCTTTTAAAGCAGGCGTTTATGAATCAATATCACACACTGACGATACCATGTGCCTGCGAAATAGTGAGCGTGTCCTCCACAACCTCAACCCATCACAAACACATGAAAAGGCAAATCAATTTTTCATCCGATAAAACAAAGGAGAATATGGCACTAGTCAAATTAGGGATTTGCATCGGTCAACTCATGTGTATCAGTGGCAAAAATCTAGAAGAAGAAGGATAAGAGAATAAAGGCAGAATCTAGTGATGAAAACCATGTATATCAGAAGCAGAAATCTGGAAGCAGAAGGATTGGGATATACATGCAGAATCTTGTGATGTAAACTATGATTATCAGTGGCAGACATCTAGAAGCAGAAGGATTGGAGTGTAGATGCAGAATCTTGTGATGTAAACTATGTATATCAGTGGCAGACGTCTGGAAGCAGAAGGATTGGAGTGTAGATACAGAAACTTGTGATGTAAACTATGTATATCAGTGGCAGAAATCTGGAAGCAGAAGGATTGGTGTATAGGTGCAGAATCTTGTGATGTAAACTATGATTATCAGTGGCAGACATCTAGAAGCAGAAGGATTGGAGTGTAGATGCAGAATCTTGTGATGTAAACTATGTATACTAGTGGCAGACGTCTGGAAGCAGAAGGATTGGAGTATAGATGCAGAAACTTGTGATGTAAACTATGTATATCAGTGGCAGACGTCTGGAAGCAGAAGGATTGGAGTATAGATGCAGAATCTTGTGATGTAAACTATGTATATTAGTGGCAGACATCTAGAAGCAGAAGGATTGGAGTGTAGATGCAGAATCTTGTGATGTAAACTATGTATATCAGTGGCAGACATCTAGAAGCAGAAGGATTGGAGTATAGATGCAGAATCTTGTGATGTAAACTATTTACATGTATATTAGTGGCAGAGATCTGGAAGCAGAAGGATTGGAGTATAGATGCAGAATCTTGTGATGTAAACTATTTACATGTATATTAGTGGCAGAGATCTGGAAGCAGAAGGATTGGAGTATACATGCAGAATCTTGTGATGTAATCTATGTATATCAGTGGCAGTCATCTGGAAGAGGAAAGACTGAGGTATAGATGCAGAATATTGTGATGTAAACTATTTACATGTATATTAGTGGCAGAGATCTGGAAGCAGAAGGATTGGAGTATAGATGCAGAATCTTGTGATGTAAACTATGTATATCAGTGGCAGAGATCTGGAAGCAGAAGGATTGGAGTGTAGATGCAGAATCTTGTGATGTAAGCTATGTATATCAGTGGCAGAGATCTGGAAGCAGAAGGATTGGAGTATAGATGCAGAATCTTGTGATGTAAGCTATGTATATCAGTGGCAGAGATCTGGAAGCAGAAGGATTGGAGTATAGATGCAGAATCTTGTGATGTAAACTATGTATATCAGTGGCAGAGATCTGGAAGCAGAAGGATTGGAGTGTAGATGCAGAATCTTGTGATGTAAACTATGTATATCAGTGGCAGACGTCTGGAAGCAGAAGGATTGGAGTATAGATGCAGAATCTTGTGATGTAAACTATGTATATCAGTGGCAGAGATCTGGAAGCAGAAGGATTGGAGTGTAGATGCAGAATCTTGTGATGTAAACTATGTATATCAGTGGCAGACGTCTGGAAGCAGAAGGATTGGAGTATAGATGCAGAATCTTGTGATGTAAACTATGTATATCAGTGGCAGAGATCTGGAAGCAGAAGGATTGGAGTATACATGCAGAAACTTGTGATGTAAACTATGTATATCATTGGCAGACTTCTGGAAGCAGAAGGATTGGAGTATAGATGCAGAATCTTGTGATGTAAACTATTTACATGTATATTAGTGGCAGAGATCTGGAAGCAGAAGGATTGGAGTATACATGCAGAATCTTGTGATGTAATCTATGTATATCAGTGGCAGTCATCTGGAAGAGGAAAGACTGAGGTATAGATGCAGAATATTGTGATGTAAACTATTTACATGTATATTAGTGGCAGAGATCTGGAAGCAGAAGGATTGGAGTATAGATGCAGAATCTTGTGATGTAAACTATGTATATCAGTGGCAGAGATCTGGAAGCAGAAGGATTGGAGTGTAGATGCAGAATCTTGTGATGTAAGCTATGTATATCAGTGGCAGAGATCTGGAAGCAGAAGGATTGGAGTATAGATGCAGAATCTTGTGATGTAAGCTATGTATATCAGTGGCAGAGATCTGGAAGCAGAAGGATTGGAGTATAGATGCAGAATCTTGTGATGTAAACTATGTATATCAGTGGCAGAGATCTGGAAGCAGAAGGATTGGAGTGTAGATGCAGAATCTTGTGATGTAAACTATGTATATCAGTGGCAGACGTCTGGAAGCAGAAGGATTGGAGTATAGATGCAGAATCTTGTGATGTAAACTATGTATATCAGTGGCAGAGATCTGGAAGCAGAAGGATTGGAGTGTAGATGCAGAATCTTGTGATGTAAACTATGTATATCAGTGGCAGACGTCTGGAAGCAGAAGGATTGGAGTATAGATGCAGAATCTTGTGATGTAAACTATGTATATCAGTGGCAGAGATCTGGAAGCAGAAGGATTGGAGTATACATGCAGAAACTTGTGATGTAAACTATGTATATCATTGGCAGACTTCTGGAAGCAGAAGGATTGGAGTATAGATGCAGAAACTTGTGATGTAAACTATGTATATCAGTGGCAGACGTCTGGAAGCAGAAGGATTGGAGTATAGATGCAGAATCTTGTGATGTAAACTATGTATATCAGTGGCAGAGATCTGGAAGCAGAAGGATTGGAGTATACATGCAGAAACTTGTGATGTAAACTATGTATATCAGTGGCAGACGTCTGGAAGCAGAAGGATTGGAGTATAGATGCAGAATCTTGTGATGTAAAATACGTATGTATATCAGTGGCAGAAATCTTGAAGCACCGTTTTGAACGGTGTTACAATTATATCACGGCGTATCAGCTTAATGAGGGAGGAAAGCCCGAAGTGATGCAGGTCTCAGATTTATACAACGAACACGGGTATGGTGCTGACAAACCTAGAAACATAAACGGGGCGAACCGGGATTCGAACCCACAATCATAGGTTTCTGGTGTGCCCAAGAGACGTAACTCTGCACAGCAAATCGCGGCGCCCTGGACGACTTGGCCACCCGTGCCCCCGAGTATAGAAGCAGAATGGTGTGATGTAAACCATGTGTATCAGGGTAAGTGATCGTGAAGCAGAAGGACTGAAGTGTAGATGCAGAATATTATGATGTAAGATTACCTGCCGGGTTTAAGAGCATGACCAATGGTTTTGTTGTTGGTATCCAGCCATTCTATCTTGGTGTCCGATGCAGACAATCCTGTGGCTTTACAGGTAAGGGCAAGTTTTCCTGTTCCTTGGATCCTCGATACACTGTTATTACTATCAATTGGATAGATACCGACGGCTGGGACATCTGAAATATCAGATCACGTATGGTAGAATCTAGCATATTTGAGTAAGTGCGTGAGTTGGGTTTGACGCCGCTTCGAACAGTATTCCAGTTGTATCACGGCGCGTCACTTTAATGTGGGAGGAAAGCCCGAAGTATGGTGCTGATATATCTAGAAACATAATCGGGGCGAACCGGGATTCGAACCCATGATCCTAAGTCAATTGCTGCACCTTCCGCGACATGTTGAATGAGCTGACGGGTGAGGTATAGAACAATTTCTGTATACCAAAACGACCATTTGATATTCAGATTTTGGAGGGGATGGTGAGGTTCAGGTCACGTGGTGTGTTTTGAAAATACCTGAAAGAAATACGTGTACCTCAAGTTTCACAAGAGATAAATATCCTAGATGTTCAAGTACTGAAGAAGTAAACAAACCAAAGGTGGAAGTTAACATACAGGAAAGACTGTAATATCACCGTTACCGCAGAGTTTTGTAAACAGTCTAACTGTTATAGTTTAGGAACGGAACAAACGTGGAAGTTAACATACAGCAAAGACTGTAATATCACCGTTACCGCAGAGTTTAGTAAACAGTCTAACTGTTATAGTATGGGGAAGGAACCAACGTGGGAGTTAACATACAGCAAAGACTGTAATATCACCGTTATCGCAGAGTTTTGAAAACAGGCTAACTGTTATAGTATAGGAACGGAACAAACGTGGGAGTTAACATACAGGAAAGACAGCAGTATATATCAGAGACTACAAAGCAATGTTACATTTACAACAAGAGAACGTACTGGCATTAGTCTAGATTGGCACGAGCCATCATACATCCATTTGCACGCAGAATCAATGGCTATGGGTAATACATACTGAAACATTTTGAAAACACATTTTCAATTTTTGGGAATATTTGGCAAAATGGCCACAAAATTAAATTGTTTCTTTCACAAAACATACTGACAATTTGAAAACGCATATCAATTTTTCTTTAGTAAAATTTGGCAAAATGGTTACAAAAATGACAAGTTCTGTGTATTTAGGGATGAGATAACCAACATGTAGGGGTTTGTCGTACGGGTTCGAATCTCGTTCGTTGTATTTGGAGATTGACTACAATTTACCTGAGAAGTAGATCCATGTAGACTTTTCCAAAGTCTTTCCCCCGATTGTTGCTCTGCACGTATAGTTTCCCGTTTCTTTCACATCATCGCGCCAAGATTCCATAAAGATCACCATGTAAGGACTGTCGTAGAGTCTCCTAAAAGACAAGTCAAAGAAGTCAAGTCGTATCCCAATAGCGTGGATCGATGTTCGTCATGTCAATCACTGGTCCATACTCGATTAGTTAAGGAACTGACGTTATATCGCTAGACACACACACGCGGGTACTCGCACGCACGCATTATGAATGGGTTGGTTGATAAAATATGAAATCCATTTGTAACTGATCAGGTGAATGTTCATGTCGCTACAGCACTATCGCTACAGTACTATTGCTACAGTACTACTGCTACAGTGCCATTGCTACAGTACTATCACTACAGTACTATCGCTACAGTACTATTGCTACAGTACTATTGCTACAGTACTATTGCTACAGTACTATCGCTACAGTACTATCGCTACAGTACTATTGCTACAGTACTATCGCTACAGTACTATCGATACAGTACTATCGATACAGTACTATCGCTACAGTGCCATTGCTACAGTACTATATCGCTACAGTACTATCGCTACAGTACTATTGCTACAGTACTATCGGTACAGTACAATTGCTAGAGTACTTTTGCTACAATACTATTGCTACAGTACTATCGCTACAGTACTATAGCTACAATACTATCGCTACAGTACTATCGCTACAATACTATCGCTACAGTACTATTGCTACAGTACTATTGCTACATTACTATTGCTACAGTACTATCGCTACAATATTATCGCTACAGTACTATTGCTACAGTACTACCGTTACAATACTATCGCTACAGTACTATCGCTACAGCACTATTGCTACAGTACTATCGCTACAATACTATCGCTACAGTACTATTGCTACAGTACTATTGCTACAATACTATTGCTACAGTACTATCGCTACAATACTATCGCTACAATTCTATTGCTACAGTACTATTGCTACGCTACTATTGCTACAGTACTATCGCTACAATACTATCGCTACAGTACTATTGCTACAGCACTATTGCTACAGTACTATTGCTACAGTACTATCGCTACAGTACTATCACTACAGTACTATCGCTACAGCACTATTGCTACAGTACTATTGCTACATTACTATTGCTACAGCACTATTGCTACAGCACTATTGCTACAGTTCTATTGCCCAGGTCTTTGGATCAGTGAGCACTCAATTTCTTCTCACTCCCTGAGGAGTACACAAACCAAGGTACCGTATGAGGTTCACTAAGGTCTACATCTCATCCGACCGGGTACCCATTTATGGCTGGGTAAACATGTGGTTCAGGGCCATAGAGTCAAGGAGTCAAGCAACCACGTGGTCACCCATCCACCAACTCGCCGAGACCAGCGTCGCTTAACTTTAATTTGAGACGTGCGTGTGGTACACAGGATCACGGACCACAAGACAATTGTATATCATTGACACTAATTTTTACCTGACCGCCTCCGTGGTCTAGTGGTAGAGCTCTAGCCGGAGAGCGGAAGGTCCGGGGATGGAACCCCGATCGCATCATACCGCTTGTAAAACGTTAAGACGTTACTTGTTGTTACCCTGTCTGGCGCTCGGCATTAAGGGGCTAAAACAAGAACTGGTCGGCTCGGAGTCAGTATACTGTGTGTTAGCGGGCTATCAATATCAAGCGATACGATGACATGCATCAACCACGCAAACCTGACCACCCGATCCCCTTAGTCGCCTCTAACGACACGCATAGTCGCCTCTTACAGCAAGCATGAGTTGCTGAAGACCTATTCTAACCCGGTCTTCACGGGTCGAACGCCACCACCTAATGTTTACCTGTCATAAGAGTCAATGACTTCCCCGTCAGGGTCCAACCATTCAAACTTAACGTCTTGGCTCCCTGGAACCCCCGTGACATAACAATACAGTGATGACGCCACCACCTAATGTTTACCTGTCATAAAACTCAATGACTTCCCCGTCAGGGTCCAACCATTCAACCTTAACGTCTTGTTTCCATGGAACCCCCGCGATATGACAAGACAGTGATGACGCCACCACCTAATGTTTACCTGTCATAAAACTCAATGACTTCCCCGTCAGGGTCCAACCATTCAACCTTAACGTCTTGTTTCCATGGAACCCCCGCGATATGACAAGACAGTGATGACGCCACCACCTAATGTTTACCTGTCATAAGAGTCAATGACTTCCCCGTCAGGGTCCAACCATTCAACCTTAACGTCTTGTTTCCATGGAACCCCCGCGATATGACAAGACAGTGATGACGCCACCACCTAATGTTTACCTGTCATAAGAGTCAATGACTTCCCCGTCAGGGTCCAACCATTCAACCTTAACGTCGTGGTTCCATGGAACCCCCGTGACATGACAGGACAGTCCAAACGGTCGTGTCACTCTGATAGTTGGCTCTGGTGGATTCATCACAAGTTTTTGGGCACCTGAAATGGAAAATCAGTAAATATCTAATGGTATCGTGAAATTAATTAATGATATCCTTAAAATGAGTGCGAGTGAGTGTGATTTTACGCCGCGTTTAGCAATATTCCAGCACAATTACGACGGGGGACACCAGAAATGGGCTTCAAACATTGCACACATTTTAGGAATCGAACCCGGGCCTTCGGCGTGACGTGCGAACGCATTAACCACAATGCTACCTAATGCCCCCATAGCCTAAAAGAATTCATCATATCAGTTTTATAGGTGAGGTGAAATGGGGTTTCACGTCGCGTCAAAGATTATTGCACTTATATAGCGACGTGCATGTACGTATGTGTGTGTGTGTGTGGCTGCTTGTACTGGTCCGGACTGATGCCGATTTATAGTGCTAGCTCACTGAGATACCATGCCGCAGTTTAACATGAATACCCCACTCAGACACAGTATACTGACTCCGAGCCGACCAGTCCTTGTTTTAGCCCCTAAATGCCGAGCGCCAGACAGGGTAACAACAAGTACCATCTTTTAACGTCATTTGGTATGACGCGGTCGGGGATCGAACCCCGGACCTTCCGTTCTCCGGGCGCACGCTCTACCACTAGACCACGGAGGCGGTCTATATCAGTTTTATAACAATACTTACAATGATATCTTCAAACCAGTTACTGATATAAAGTCAGTTCATTATACCTGTAAATAACATACTGAAATAAGAAACCGAATTCCTGAAATTATCTTTGAATAAATTTCGTGAAAGGGATTACATATATTAATGAATTAAGCATTACTGTTGTTATTAAATTAATTAATGATGTACAGTAAACTACGGTTATAACGAACACGCTTATAACGAACTGACGGATATAACGAACTTACTTTTTGGTCCCGACTACTTGCTGTAGTCATGCTGTGTATGTACTTATAACGAAAAACGGTTATAACGAACTAAAATTAGTAGTCCCTTAGTCCCTTTGAGTTCGTTATAACCGTAGTTTACTGTACATTAATTCAGTTTTATTATTATGATTTGAATAATTATCTTTTATCATTACTTAACTGTATCAGCACATTGATATTAACAGATACATTGATTGCATTAAAACACTTACTGATCTCATGAAAATAAATAATAACATCAGTACATCGATAACAGTTTACTATTCACTGGTGTCTCCACCAAACTTCGTAGTTTGTAAGTAAGTTGGGTTTAACGCCGCTTTGAGCAGTATTTTAGTTCTGTGACGGTGTGTCGGCTTGATGATGGAGGAGTAAGTGAGTTGGGTTTAACGTCGCTTTGAACAGTATTCCAGTTATATCACTGTGTCTCAGCTTGAGAAGTAAGTGAGTTTGGTTTTATGTCGCATTTAACAATATTTCAGTTCAAGAACGGCTTGTCAATTTAATGTTGCATGAGTGACTTGCATTAAACGCTGCTATGAACGGTCTTTCAATTAAATCACGGCGTGTCAGCTTGATGTGGGAGGAACGCCCGAAGTAATATTGGACAGAAACATTATCCTATTTGGTGAGACTCGCGACCACAGTTATGGTGCTGGTAAATCTAAAAGCATAAACAGGGCGAACCTGGATTCGAACCCGCGATCATAGGTTTTTGGCACGCCTAAGACATGCACCCATGCCCAGCCTTAGTTGACTGGGCCCCCGGTCTCTACTCGAGCTAAAACGCAAGCAATCAGCAAGAGCAATAAGCAAACACAAATCAGCTATAAAGGTTTCTTTTGCGGTTCAGTATATAAGGGAGCCTTGTTTGTTCAAGTCATCAAAATCGAAATTTCAATATGGCTGCAAGTTAGCAATCTTTAATTTAATTTAATTTAATTTCATCTTACACACATTTTTTAAGCAAACTGTGGATGACAGATGCTACGGGTAGAGCAGGTCATGTTTAACCAATCCGCGAACACCTCGTGTCATCACTGGTTTTCACTCATATAATTTTCACTGAGAGGGTTATTTGCTCTGCCACCAAGTTTCACGTCACTGGTCCTTTCACTGACGCTTTTTTTCAAATTAAAGGTGGGGTGAGGTGAAATGGGGTTTAACGTCGCGTCAAAGATTATTGCACTTATATAGCGACGTGCTTGCACGTGTGTGTGTGGCTGCTTGTACCAGTCCGGACTGATGCTGATTTATATTGCTAGCTCACTGAGATAACATGCCGCAGTTTAACATGAATACCCCACTCAGACACAGTATACTGACTCCGAGCCGACCAGTCCTTGTTTTAGCCCCTTAATGCCGAGCGCTAGACAGGGTAACAACAAGTACCATCTTTTACCGTCTCTTGGTATGATGCGGCCGGGGATCGAACCCCAGACCTTCCGCTCTCCGGGCGGACGCTCTACCACTAGACAACGGAGGCGGTCCTTCAAATTAAAGATGGCTAAATTGCAGCCATATTGAAAATTCGATTTAGATGACTTGAACAAACTAGACTCCCTTATAGTAACAGATAACTACACCAAGTTTCAGCTCAATACATCAAGCCTAATGCATTTCAGAGAAGTCGAAAATGAACGACGGATTTTCGGGTCAGACGAGCTCGCAACAAGAAGTGCGTTTGTGTGCGCTCATCACCCTTTACTCAGAAACACAAAGGTATGGTTATTTTCACATAACATGAAAAAAAGATTTCAGATTCAATATTAGGTGGGTAACTGCAGAAATCTGTTTCAAATAATATGAAACAACTAAAGCTATGACATTAGGCCACAGATATGATCAATATCACAAGCATGCCGAAATACACAAGCAGCAAATAGTTCATGGAACTTCTTACTCTGTGAATAATATTTCCCAATTTCTAAAAACTAGGTTCACGTTTCCAATATTCGAAGTGATGAATCCACTCTGTACAGAAATAACGGAATCGAAAATCGTCTTTGAAATTAAACTGTACTTACACACAGCAAGGGGGCCCAAACATATTACCAATAGCAGCAGATGCTGCATGTCAACGTCCGCCATGTTGTGAACTGCACGTCACGTGGTTGTTCACGAGCTTGGAATGAGAAGTGTGTTAAGTACATGTCAAGTGTCAAGTGTGTTAAGCACGATATGTGTAGGAAGTGGTTAGTGATGGAGTCAGTCGTTTTGCCCTTCAAATGTCAACCACGTAGTTGACGATGACGATAACAAGGTCAGCCGTCTACAGGATATTTGAAACCCAAACTCATATTACACTCTTCAAAAAAAGAAACGCACAGGTAGATTTTTAGTAAATTTATTGTACCTAATAAAGTCGATATATTTAGTTTGATATCACGGATACAAATATGAAATTTTGGAGCTCGACAGTCACATGTTGTCGTTGTACAAAGGCATTGAAAAATGTTCATTGTCATGTCACATAAGGCCACGAGAATACGCTGAACTCAGTATCTCGTGTGACCGCCCGGGCAACAGTCTCGGCTCTGCATCTCCTCTGCACTGACTGGATAAGTGTACGAGTTCTGTCCTGCGTAACTCTGCGCCATTCTGCTTGTAACGCGTTGGCCAGTTGTGGGAGTGTCTGCGGCGTGTTCTGACGTTGACGTAAACATCGAACGAGTTTATCCCAGAGGTGTTCGATTGGGTTGAGATCTGTAGATCTCGACGGCCAGGGTAAGTCGTCGATGTTGGCATTATGGGGGTAGTCAATCGTGACACGAGCTGTGTGCAGTGGGGCGTTGTCCTGTTGAAACAGCTCCCTCTGGCGGTCAATGATTGGAAGAAGGTGGGGTTGAAGAATTTGATTCATGGAGCGATTTGCTATCAAATCTCACTGAACCACAACCAAATCAGATCTCTTAATGTTGGCCTCCCACACCATTACACTACCGCCACCGAATTTGTCGAATTCACGTACACAATGTGGGCGTAACGCTCATTTCGACGACGATAAACACGTTGTCTTCCGGCGAAGAAGAAATCGTGATTTATCGCTAAACCACACTCGTCTCCTGTTTCTCAAATTTCAAGGCTGTAAGGTATCACACTAACGCAAGCGTCGCTGTCGAGGGATCTGTTGCAAAACAGGGACGATAACTGGTCTTCTGGGTGGGATTCCCGCCTCGCGAAGATGGTTACTGACGGTCTTGTCCGATATCCCCCTCAAACCAGGGATGCGTCCTGCAGTCTCCGTAGGTGAAACAGTCGAATGTAACGATCCTGTGCAGGGGTGGTAACTCTTGGGCGGCCTGTTCTCGGACGGTCTTCAGTGGAATTGAGCTGTGTGTATCGGCCACAAAGGTGGCAAATGGTGCTGTGGTGGACGTTGAAATGGCGTGCAACAAACGACTGCGATTCCCCTCTTTGGATACGTCCTGTGGCGACGTTCTGATCGGCAGCGCTGAGTCTCGGCATTTTCGAACTTAAAAATGTTGGCCATTGAATGACAAATTATTATCCACCATGACATTTTTTAACAAGAGTGAAAACAATTACGTTTAAGACATTGCAAATCGATAATGGCAGCATTTTGACGCGTCAGGCCACCAACAGTTTCCAATAACATATATCCAATTTTTATACCGGAGGTTTTGTGTAGTAAGGTTCAATGAACTGCATACTACTTGTGCGTTTCTTTCCTTGGAGAGTGTATGTAGAAAATCTCACCCTCAGGTTTTATTGATATCAAATTTATCAACAAAAGCTGATGAAAGTGGAAAAAACTCATGGCAAGTTTTTCCACTTTTATCAACGAGTTGATATACGTTGATATATTTGATTTTTGATTTTATTTATGACATCATTCTTCCACCTTTTTCAGTTTGTAGACAGCAATAAGCATTACGATTGTGACATCATGGTAACCAATGACGTCACAATGGTCTGCAAAGCAATGTGATGCAATTTCATTGCAGCGATATCTACACCGAAGCGATATCTCCTGTGGGAGCCAGTTTTGGATGATAAATACACGTTCCCTATCATTACTATATGTACGGTACAAGCAAAACCACTTATATACACATGTTCCCTATCAATACTATATGTACGGTACAAGCAAAACCACTTATATACACATGTTCCCTATCAATACTATATGTACGGTACAAGCAAAACCACTTATATACACATGTTCCCTATCAATACTATATGTACGGTACAAGCAAAACCACTTATATACACATGTTCCCTATCAATACTATATGTACGGTACAAGCAAAACCACTTATATACACATGTTCCCTATCAATACTATATGTACGGTACAAGCAAAACCACTTATATACACATGTTCCCTATCAATACTATATGTACGGTACAAGCAAAACCACTTATATACACATGTTCCCTATCAATACTATATGTACGGTACAAGCAAAACCACTTATATACACATGTTCCCTATCAATACTATATGTACGGTACAAGAAAACCACTTATATACACATGTTCCCTTTTATTACTATATGTACGGTACCAGCAAAACCACTTATATATGTTACAGGAAACAAGTATAATCAGTGATTAAGTCTAATGACTGAAAATTTCAGTGATTATGTCTAATAACTGATTCACTCGGTGGTTATGTCTAATTACTGAAATCTTCAGTAATTAGACATAATCACTGAAATGAACCAAGGGATTTTATACTTGTTTACTGAAAGCATATTCCTGCCTTGTTTTTATAATGTGTGCTAGTTTTGAAATTAGATTAGCTATCAAAGTAAATACAACCTCCTGTAACCAGATACCTATATCACAAAAATAAGCTTAAACAGTTCAATCTTTTATTTCATAAAATGGTATTACGTGAATGGTATGACATGAATGGTATGACAAATAGCAGTTAGATGGACACTCAGGAATGTTTGTTTGCACATGAAAGACTTGAATAAGATCTAGAATTACATTGCGTCTTGGCCTTAAAACATTTGCAGCGATTGGTCTGACACCGTTTAGTTCCAACACAATTACACCTTACAAAGCCTTGACCACAACAGACTGAGTCAAGTTGAACCGCTTGACGCAATGATTCTGTTTGTTTACAGGAGATTGGCTAAGGACAGGATTATGAAGCCTTCTCACAAGTTATTATAAAAAGTCAGGAATATGCTTTCAGTAAACAAGTATAAAATCCCTTGGTTCATTTCAGTGATTATGTCTAATTACTGAAGATTTCAGTAATTAGATATAACCACCGAGTGAATCAGTTATTAGACATAATCACTGAAATTTCCAGTTATTAGACTTAATCACTGATTATACTTGTTTCCTGTAACATATACACATGTTCCCTATCATTACTATATGTACGGTACCAGCAAAACCACTTATATACACATGTTCCCTATCATTACTATATGTACGGTACCAGCAAAACCACTTATATACACATGTTCCCTGTCATTACTATATGTACGGTACAAGCAAAACCACTTATATACACATGTTCCCTATCATTACTATATGTACGGCACCAGCAAAACCACTTATATACACATGTTCCCTGTCATTACAATATGTACGGTACAAGCAAAACCACTTATATACACATGTACCCTATCATTACTATATGTACAGTACAAGCAAAACCACTTATAAACACATGTTCCCTATCATTACAATATGTACGGTACAGGCAAAACCACTTATATACACATGTTCCCTATCATTACTATATGTACGGTACCAGCAAAACCACTTATATACACATGTTCCCTATCAATACTATGTGTACGGTACCAGCAAAACCACTTATATACACATGTTCCCTATCATTACTATATGTACGGTACCAGCAAAACCACTTATATACACCTGTTCCCTATCAATACTATGTGTACGGTACCAGCAAAACCACTTATATACACATGTTCCCTATCATTACTATATGTACGGTACAAGCAAAACCACTTATATACACATGTTCCCTATCATTACTATATGTACGGTACCAGCAAAACCACTTATATACACATGTTCCCTATCATTACTATATGTACGGTACCAGCAAAACCACTTATATACACATGTTCCCTATCAGTACTATTTGTACGGTACCAGCAAAACCACTTATATACACATGTTCCCTATCATTACTATATGTACGGTACAAGCAAAACCACTTATATACACATGTTCCCTATCATTACTATATGTACGGTACAAGCAAACCACTTATATACACATGTTCCCTATCATTACTATATGTACGGTACCAGCAAAACCACTTATATACACATGTTCCCTATCATTACTATATGTACGGTACAAGCAAAACCACTTATATACACATGTTCCCTATCATTACTATATGTACGGTACAGGCAAAACCACTTATATACACATGTTCCCTATCATTACTATATGTACGGTACAAGCAAAACCACTTATATACACATGTTCCCTATCATTACTATATGTACGGTACCAGCAAAACCACTTATATACACATGTTCCCTATCATTACTATATGTACGGCACCAGCAAAACCACTTATATACACATGTTCCCTGTCATTACAATATGTACGGTACAAGCAAAACCACTTATATACACATGTTCCCCATCATTACTATATGTACGGTACCAGCAAAACCACTTATATACACATGTTCCCTATCATTACTACATGTACGGTACAAGCAAAACCACTTATATACACATGTTCCCTATCATTACTATATGTACGGTACAAGCAAAACCCCTTATATACACATGTTCCCTATCATTACTGTGTGAATCGATCCGCGAAGGTCCGGGATAGAATAGGTCATCAGCAACCCATGCTTGCCGTAAAAAGGCCCATGCTTATGATATCAATCACCGGATTGTCTGTTCCACATAGCTGGAATATTGCTGAGTGCGCGTAAAGCAACAAACAAACACTGACAAGAACTTTTCCAGGCACTCCAATGGCGACGTAACCCACGTGACGTCATCAGACGACTGACCATTTCCACGCGCCGGGGAGCTTTTGGTGTGGTCACTCATTAATTATTAATGCGATTTAAGATGTATGTGCCCTTTGTCCATTACGTTAAAAGCTTTTTGTTCTACCCCACTTCAATTCTCGCAACTGTTGTGCCATGTTATGCTGTATATCATTTTAAATGTTGATTGCGCTGAGATTTTGATCCTTCAATACGTTTTACTTCACATTTCTATCCTTTGGGGTTTTTAAACTTGGGTGAGATTTCTTTTGACCTTCATTATATTTTTAACATATACATTAACATAATAAAACTAGTCAATGTCCTGTGTTGCAGAGTAATCGGAATTCCTTATCAAAAGGTGAGTGGTATATGTATTTATTTTACGCACGCAGCAGTTTCGATGAGCGAGAGAAATGCCTGTCACAAAAATATGCGTTTTCACAGAATTAATTGCCTTCCATAAGTTATCACTGGGCAATTCAATAAAACATGACGGTTTGATTTGTCTCGATTCAGGTTGTGTCATAATGAAGTCAGTTAACATTGTGTGACCTGTGTCTGTCTTGTCTGGGACTGTACACACGTTGTCTCAATAGTGCCTGTCTTGTCTGGGACTATATACACATTGTCTCAATAGTGCCTGTCTTGTCTGGGACCATATACACATTGTCTCAATAGTGCTTGTCTTGTCAGGGACTATATACACATTGTCTCAATAGTGCCTGTCTTGTCTGGGACCATATACACATTGTCTCAATAGTGCTTGTCTTGTCAGGGACTATATACACATTGTCTCAATAGTGCCTGTCTTGTCTGGGACCATATACACATTGTCTCAATAGTGCTTGTCTTGTCTGGGACCATATACACATTGTCTCAATAGTGCTTGTCTTGTCAGGGACTATATACACATTGTCTCAATAGTGCCTGTCTTGTCTGGGACCATATACACATTGTCTCAATAGTGCCTGTCTTGTCAGGGACCATATACACATTGTCTCAATAGTGCCTGTCTTGTCTGGGACCATATACACATTGTCTCAATAGTGCCTGTCTTGTCAGGGACCATATACACATTGTCTCAATAGTGCCTGTCTTGTCTGGGACCATATACACATTGTCTCAATAGTGCCTGTCTTGTCTGGGACCATATACACATTGTCTCAATAGTGTCTGTCTTGTCAGGGACTATATACACATTGTCTCAATAGTGCCTGTCTTGTCTGGGACCATATACACATTGTCTCAATAGTGTCTGTCTTGTCTGGGACCATATACACATTGTCTCAATAGTGCTTGTCTTGTCAGGGACTATATACACATTGTCTCAATAGTGCCTGTCTTGTCTGGGACCATATACACATTGTCTCAATAGTGCATCTCTTGTCTGGGACCATATACACATTGTCTCAATAGTGCCTGTCTTGTCTGGGACCATATACACATTGTCTCAATAGTGCTTGTCTTGTCAGGGACTATATACACATTGTCTCAATAGTGCCTGTCTTGTCTGGGACCATATACACATTGTCTCAATAGTGCCTGTATTGTCTGGGACTGTACACACATTGTCTCAATAGTGTCTGTCTTGTCTGGGACCATATACACATTGTCTCAATAGTGCCTGTCTTGTCTGGGACCATATACACATTGTCTCAATAGTGCTTGTCTTGTCAGGGACTATATACACATTGTCTCAATAGTGCCTGTCTTGTCTGGGACCATATACACATTGTCTCAATAGTGTCTGTCTTGTCAGGGACCATATACACATTGTCTCAATAGTGCTTGTCTTGTCAGGGACTATATACACATTGTCTCAATAGTGCCTGTCTTGTCTGGGACCATATACACATTGTCTCAATAGTGCCTCTCTTGTCTGGGACCATATACACATTGTCTCAATAGTGCCTGTCTTGTCTGGGACCATATACACATTGTCTCAATAGTGCCTGTCTTGTCTGGGACCATATACACATTGTCTCAATAGTGCCTGTCTTGTCTGGGACCATATACACATTGTCTCAATAGTGCCTGTCTTGTCTGGGACTGTACACACATTGTCTCAATAGTGTCTGTCTTGTCTGGGACCATATACACATTGTCTCAATAGTGCCTGTCTTGTCTGGGACCATATACACATTGTCTCAATAGTGCTTGTCTTGTCAGGGACTATATACACATTGTCTCAATAGTGCCTGTCTTGTCTGGGACCATATACACATTGTCTCAATAGTGTCTGTCTTGTCAGGGACTATATACACATTGTCTCAATAGTGCTTGTCTTGTCAGGGACTATATACACATTGTCTCAATAGTGCCTGTCTTGTCTGGGACTGTACACACGTTGTCTCAATAGTGCCTGTCTTATCTGGGACTATATACACATTGTCTCAATAGTGCTCTTCTGTCTAGGACTGTTGGTGGGTGAGTGAGTGGTCGGGTTGGTTGGTGAGTGAGTTGTCGGGTTGGTGGGTGAGTGAGTGGTCGGGTTGAGTGGGTGAGGAAGTGGTCGGATTGGTGGGTGAGCTAGTGGTTGGGTTGTTGGGTGAGTGAGTGGTCTGGTTGGTGGGTGAGAGTTGGTGGGTGAGTTAGTGGTTGGGTTGTTGGGTGAGTGAGTGGTGGGATTGGTGGGTGAGTAAGAGGTTGGGTTGGTGGGTTTGTGGGTGAGTGAATGTTCGGGTTGGTGGGTGAGTGAGTGGTCCGGTTGTGTGGGTGAGTGAGTTGTTGGGTTGGTGGGTGAGTTAGTGGTTGGGTTGTTGTGTGAGTGAGTGGTCGGATTGGTGGTTGAGTGAGTGGTCGGGTTGGTGGGTTTGTGGGTGAGTGAGTGGTCGGGTTGGTGGGTGAGTGAGTGGTCGGATTGGTGGGTTGGTGGGTGAGTGAGTGGTCGGGTTGGTGGGTGAGTGAGTGGTCGGGTTGGTGGGTGAGTGAGTGGTCGGGTTGGTGGGTGAGTGAGTGGTCGGGTTGGTGGGTGAGTGAGTGGTCGAGTTGGCTGGTCAGTGAGTGGTCGGGTTGGTGGGTGAGTGAGTGGTCGAGTTGGTTGGTGAGTGAGTGGTCGGGTTGAGTGGGTGAGTTGTCGGGTTGGTTGGTGAGTGAGTGGTCGGGTTGAGTGGGTGAGTTGTCGGGTTGGTGGGTGAGTGAGTGGTCCGGTTGGTGGGTGAGTGAGTTGTTGGGTTGGTGGGTGAGTTAGTGGTTGGGTTGTTGGGTGAGTGAGTGGTCGGATTGGTGGTTGAGTGAGTGGTCGGGTTGGTGGGTTTGTGGGTGAGTGAGTGGTCGGGTTGGTGGGTGAGTGAGTGGTCGGGTTGGTGAGTGAGTGAGTGGTCGGATTGGTGGGTTGGTGGGTGAGTGAGTGGTCGGGTTGGAGGGTGATTGAGTGGTCCGGTTGGGTGGTCAGTGAGTGGTCGGGTTGGTGGGTGAGTGAGTGGTCGGGTTGGAGTGTACGACGACCAGCAAGAGTATCCGACGACCAACAAGAGTGTCCGACGACCAACAAGAGTGTCCGACGACCAGCAAGAGTGTCCGACAACCAGCAAGATTGCCCAACTACCAGCAAGAGTATCCGACGACCAACAAGAGTGTCTGACGACCAACAAGAGAGTCCGACGACCAACAAGAGAGTCCGACGACCAACAAGAGTGTCCGACGACCAACAAGAGTGTCCGACGACCAACAAGAGAGTCCGACGACCAACAAGAGTGTCCGACGACCAACAAGAGAGTCCGACGACCAACAAGAGTGTCCGACGACCAACAAGAGAGTCCGACGACCAACAAGAGAGTCCGACGACCAACAAGAGAGTCCGACGACCAACAAGTGTGTCCGACGACCAACAAGAGAGTCCGACGACCAACAAGAGTGTCCGACGACCAACAAGAGAGTCCGACGACCAACAGACCAACAAGAGAGTCCGACGACCAACAAGAGTGTCCGACGACCAACAAGAGTGTCCGACGACCAACAAGAGTGTCCGACGACCAACAAGAGTGTCCGACGACCAACAAGTGTGTCCGACGACCAACAAGAGAGTCCGACGACCAACAAGTGTGTCCGACGACCAACAAGAGAGTCCGACGACCAACAAGAGTGTCCGACGACCAACAAGAGTGTCCGACGACCAACAAGAGTGTCCGACGACCAACAAGAGTGTCCGACGACCAACAAGAGAGTCCGACGACAAACAAGAGTGTCCGACGACCAACAAGAGAGTCCGACGACCAGCAAGAGTGTCCGACGACCAGCAAGAGTGTCCGACGACCAGCAAGAGTGTCCGACGACCAACAAGAGAGTCCGACGACCAACAAGAGTGTCCGACGACCAACAAGTGTGTCCGACGACCAACAAGAGAGTCCGACGACCAACAAGTGTGTCCGACGACCAACAAGAGAGTCCGACGACCAACAAGAGTGTCCGACGACCAACAAGAGTGTCCGACGACCAACAAGAGTGTCCGACGACCAACAAGAGTGTCCGACGACCAACAAGAGAGTCCGACGACAAACAAGAGTGTCCGACGACCAACAAGAGAGTCCGACGACCAGCAAGAGTGTCCGACGACCAACAAGAGTGTCCGACGACCAGCAAGAGTGTCCGACGACCAACAAGAGTGTCCGACGACCAACAAGAGTGTCCGACGACCAACAAGAGAGTCCGACGACCAACAAGAGTGTCCGACGACCAACAAGAGAGTCCGACGACCAACAAGAGTGTCCGACGACCAACAAGAGAGTCCGACGACCAACAAGAGAGTCCGACGACCAACAAGAGAGTCCGACGACCAACAAGTGTGTCCGACGACCAACAAGAGAGTCCGACGACCAACAAGAGTGTCCGACGACCAACAAGAGAGTCCGACGACCAACAGACCAACAAGAGAGTCCGACGACCAACAAGAGTGTCCGACGACCAACAAGAGTGTCCGACGACCAACAAGAGTGTCCGACGACCAACAAGAGTGTCCGACGACCAACAAGTGTGTCCGACGACCAACAAGAGAGTCCGACGACCAACAAGTGTGTCCGACGACCAACAAGAGAGTCCGACGACCAACAAGAGTGTCCGACGACCAACAAGAGTGTCCGACGACCAACAAGAGTGTCCGACGACCAACAAGAGTGTCCGACGACCAACAAGAGAGTCCGACGACAAACAAGAGTGTCCGACGACCAACAAGAGAGTCCGACGACCAGCAAGAGTGTCCGACGACCAGCAAGAGTGTCCGACGACCAGCAAGAGTGTCCGACGACCAACAAGAGAGTCCGACGACCAACAAGAGTGTCCGACGACCAACAAGTGTGTCCGACGACCAACAAGAGAGTCCGACGACCAACAAGTGTGTCCGACGACCAACAAGAGAGTCCGACGACCAACAAGAGTGTCCGACGACCAACAAGAGTGTCCGACGACCAACAAGAGTGTCCGACGACCAACAAGAGTGTCCGACGACCAACAAGAGAGTCCGACGACAAACAAGAGTGTCCGACGACCAACAAGAGAGTCCGACGACCAGCAAGAGTGTCCGACGACCAACAAGAGTGTCCGACGACCAGCAAGAGTGTCCGACGACCAACAAGAGAGTCCGACGACCAACAAGAGAGTCCGACGACCAACAAGAGTGTCCGACGACCAACAAGAGTGTCCGACGACCAACAAGAGAGTCCGACGACCAACAAGAGTGTCCGACGACCAACAAGAGTGTCCGACGACCAACAAGAGAGTCCGACGACCAACAAGAGAGTCCGACGACCAACAAGAGTGTCCGACGACCAACAAGAGTGTCCGACGACCAACAAGAGCGTCCTGCGAAGGGCAAGAGCGTCCGATGACCATCATGATTGTCCGACGAAGGGCAACATTGTCCAACGATCAGAGTGCCATACGACCAGTAAATTTTCAGACGATCAGCAAGAATGTCCGAAGACCAGCAAGAGCGTCCCACAATCAGCAAGAGTGTCCGACAATCAGCAAGAGCGTCCGACGACCAGCAAGAGCGTCCGACGACCAGCAAGAGCGTCAAACGATCAGCAAGAGCGTCAAACGATCAGCAAGAGTGCCCAACGCCCAGCAAGTGCGTCCAACGATCAGCAAGAGCGTCAAACGATCAGCAAGAGTGCCCAACGCCCAGCAAGAGCGTCCAACGATCAGCAAGAGCGCCCGACGATCAGCAAGAGTGCCCAACGCCCAGCAAGAGCGTCCAACGATCAGCAAGAGTGCCCAACGCCCAGCAAGAGCGCCACACGATCAGCAAGAGTGTACAACGCCCAGCAAGAGTGTACAACGACCACCAAGAGTGTCCAACGACTAGCAAGAGGGTCTGACAACCAGCAAGAGCGCCCGACGATGAGTAAGTTTGATCTGTATGTGGACTGTTAACAGTAGCGTCAAACTGATTACATTTCACAACCAGCGCACACAACCAGCGCACACAACCAGCGCACACAACCAGCGCACACAACCAGGGGTTATGCTGTTTGTGAGAGTCTGCACTTCCCCATTCGAATCACTTCATTCGAATTCATACATTTTGCAAAAAAAACACATCAAATTTCCATTTCCGTGTGATCAAAGGACACCGTTTGTAAAAAAACAGGCTCGTACTATCAAATGCCATTTAACAGCACATGTAAGACACAGGAAGACTTGCTTGAAACCACCCAGTTATTAATACGTGGACAAGGTCAGTACAACATGTTAACATGATGGTTGCACACAGTACAGGAGGTTTTCAGACATACAATACATACACAACATGAGACAACACCACGCAGACAACCAGTACTTTTGTGAACATCATGCTAAGATACTAAGAAATGATTTAACAACCCACAAGCAAAGACAATAATGTCTTAACATCATGCTGACATGGGGTGAGTGAGTGAGTGAGTATGGTTTTACGCCGCTTTTAGCAACATTCCAGCAATATCAGGTCGGGGGACACCAGACATGGGCTTCGCATATTGTACCCATGTCGGGAATCGAACCCGGATTTTCGGCGTGACGAGCGAACGCTTAAACCACTAGGCTACCCGACCGCCCCTTGAGTGAAATAAACACATCATTCATATAGTCAAGTACATGCACATTGATGACACAGTTGTTGCTGGGTAGGTCATCTGTCATTCTGGAAGTACATATGATTCAAACGAAGCAAGTTGATTATAAGTGATTGAGTTGGGTTCAATGCCGCTTTTAACAGTATTCCAGTTATATTACAGGGTATCAGCTTAATGTGGGAGGAAAACCTGAAGTGATGCTCGTCTCAGATGATTTACGACTTTGGTGAAACCCACGAGCACATGTATGGTGCTGTCAAACCTAGAAACAAAATCGGAATGAACCGTGATTCGAACCCACATTCATAGGTTCCTGACGTGCCCAAGGGACGCAACTCTGCATAGTGAATTGCGGCACCTTAAAGGACGGGGTCACCCATGCCCCTGCCAGTTTATGAAAATACTCGCAAAGCACACGTGTTCCACCATCATTGTACGAGGTATACGTAAACATACTCACTGTTGACGTAGTGTTGGCTGTCTGAATAACGACCGCCTCCGTGGTCTAGTGGTAGAGCGTCCGCCCGGAGAGCGGAAGGTCCGGAGCTCGATCCCCGGCCGCGTCATACCAAAAGACGTTAAAAGATGGTACTTGTTGTTACCCTCTCTGGCGCTCGGCATTAAGGGGCTAAAACAAGGACTGGTCGGCTCGGAGTCAGTATACTGTGTCTGAGTAGGGTATTCATGTTAAACTGTGGCATGGTATCTCAGTGAGCTAGCACTATAAATCGGCATCAGTCCGGACTAGCACAAGCAGCCACACACACACACACGTACATGCACGTCGCTATATAAGTGCAATAATCTTGGACGCGACGTTAAACCTCACCTCACCTGTCTGAATAACAATGCGTCAGGGTTAACGTAATGTTGATCCTGTTTTCAATATAGAAGTCGCTTCTTAAAGCGTTTACACCCCAGCTAGGGAAAAGTAGTGCAAGCACATATATACTTTCATGCTGGTATTGAATTAATACACACCTCCGGACCCACATTCAAGCACAATAGGGCTGGCCAAGTCATGTTTGTTTGTTTGTCGTTCAACTCACACAGCAATATTTCAGCTATAAGACAGCGGTCTGTTTGTATGGTTTTTTGTTTAACGCCGCACTCAGCAATATTCCAGCTATATGACGGCGGTCTGTAAATAACGGAGTGTGGACCAGACAATCCAGTGAGTGAGTTGGGTTTAACGCCGCTTTTAACAGTATTCCAGTTATAACACGGCGTCTGAGCTTAGTGTGGGAGGAAAGCCCGAAGTGAGGCAGGTCTCAGACGTTTACCACTTCGGTGAAACCCACGAGCACGGGTATGATGCTGACAAACCTTGATACATAATCGGGGAGAACCGGGATTCGAACCTACAATCATAGGTTTCTGGCGTGCCCAAGGGACGCAACTCTGCACAGCGAATCGCGGCGCCTCAGACGACGTGCCCCCGACAATCCAGTGATTGACACCATGAGCATCTATCTACGCAATTGGGGTACGATGACATGCATCAACCAAGTCACCGACCCTGATCCCGTTAGTCGCCTCTTACAGCAAGCATGGGTTGCTGAAGACCTATTCTCTACCCGGATCTTCGTGGGTCGACTTGACATGATTATACGCTTGTTGGTGAAATGGATCAGACCCGTGAAGATTCCGGGATAGAATAGGTCTTCAGCAACCCATGCTTGCCGTAAAAGGCGACTATGCTTGTCGTAAAAGGCGACTAACGGGATCGGGTGGTCAGGCTCGCTGACTTGGTTGATGCATGTCATCGTTTCCAATTGCGTGGATCGATGCTCATGATGTCAATCACTGGATTGTCTGGTCCGGTCCAGACTCGATTATTTTACAGACCGCCGTCATATAGCTGGAATATTGCTGAGTGCGGCGTTAAACAAACAAACAAACATGATACGGATCAGGGCTTGTAAGGACTGGTATGGTCACTATGTCTGTAAACAAGTATCCTTCAATTCTTTATGCCATTGCCTGACATTTTGGGGGGCGGTCGGGTAGCCTAGTGGTTAAAGCGTTCGCTCGTCACGCCGAAGACCCGGGTTCGATTCCCGACATGGGTACAATGTGTGAAGCCCATTTCTGGTGTCCCCGGCCCCGCCGTGATATTGCTGGAATATTGCTAAAAGCGGCGTAAAACCAAACTCACTCACTCGCTGACATTTTGGGGGCTTTAGGTGCATACACTTCAGTTGAAAGTTACGTATCCAGGGTGGTTCTTATCGGTTTATGGAGATTATGAGCTGGCACTGCGTGCTGCGTGGCTGGAGGCCGGTCCAAGATAATTCGTCCGGTAAATTGTCTCCTTTTAGATCGAGCGCGAGAACACGGCACTCCAATGATAATGGCGAGAGAAAATCTGAAGCAACATTTTATCAACATTTTTAGATACTGTCCATGAACATTAGGAAACGGAAGTAAAATATCTCTTGCTGGCGCAGAAAGGCATTGCGTTTTATCATGTCGCAGTTCTGCGGTAGTTGACGACGTCGTTATCATGTCACAGTTATGCAATAGTTGGCGGCGTCGTTACCATGTCACAGTTCTGCGGTAGTTGACGGCGTCGTTACCATGTCGCAGTTCTGCAGTAGTTGACGACGTCGTTACTATGTCACAGTTATGCAGTAGTTGGCGGCGTCGTTACCATGTCACAGTTCTGCAGTAGTTGACGACGTCGTTACCATGTCACAGTTCTGCAGTAGTGGACGGCGTCGTTACCATGTCACAGTTCTGCAGTAGTTGACGGCGTCGTTACCATGTCACAGTTCTGCAGTAGTTGACGGCGTCGTTACCATGTCACAGTTCTGCAGTAATTGACGGCGTCGTTACCATGTCACAGTTCTGCAGTTGTTGACGGCGTCGTTACCATGTCACAGTTCTGCGGTAGTTGACGACGTCGTTACCATGTCACAGTTCTGCGGTAGTTGACGACGTCGTTACCATGTCACAGTTCTGCGGTAGTGGACGACGGCGTTACCATGTCACAGTTATGCAGTAGTTGACGACGTCGTTACCATGTCACAGTTCTGCGGTAGTTGACGACGTCGTTACCATGTCACAGTTCTGCAGTAGTTGACGGCGTCGTTACCATGTCACAGTTCTGCGGTAGTTGACGACGTCGTTACCATGTCACAGTTCTGCGGTAGTTGACGACGTCCTTATCATGTCGCAGTTCTGCAGTAATTGACGACGTCGTTATAATGTCGCAGTTCTGCGGTAGTTGACGACGTCGTTATCATGTCGCAGTTCTGCGGTAGTTGACGACGTCGTTATCATGTCGCAGTTCTGCGGTAGTTGACGACGTCGTTACCATGTCACAGTTCTGCAGTAGTTGACGGCGTCGTTACCATGTCACAGTTATGCAGTAGTGGACGGCGTCGTTACCATGTCACAGTTCTGCGGTAGTTGACGGCGTCGTTACCATGTCGCAGTTCAGCAGTAGTTGACGGCGTTGTTACCATGTAACGGTTCTGCAGTAGTGGACGGCGTCGTTACTATATCACAGTTCTGCAGTGGTTGACGGCGTCGTTACCAAGTCACAGTTCTGCAGTAGTTGGCCGCGTCGTTACCATGTCGCAGTTATGCAGTAGTGGACGGCGTCGTTACCAAGTCACAGTTCTGCAGTGGTTGACGGCGTCGTTACCAAGTCACAGTTCAGCAGTAGTTGACGGCGTCGTTACCATGTCGCAGTTATGCAGTAGTGGACGGCGTCGTTACCAAGTCACAGTTCTGCAGTAGCTGACGGCGTCGTTACCAAGTCACAGTTATGCAGTAGTTGACGGCGTCGTTACCATGTCACAGTTCTGCAGTAGTTGACGGCGTCGTTACTATATCACAGTTCTGCAGTAGTGGACGGCGTCGTTACCATGTCACAGTTCTGCAGTAGTTGACGGCGTCGTAACCATGTCACAGTTATGCAGTAGTGGACGGCGTCGTTACCAAGTCACAGTTCAGCAGTAGTGGACGGCGTCGTTACCATGTCGCAGTTATGCAGTAGTGGACGTCGTCGTTACCAAGTCACAGTTCTGCAACAGTTGACGGCGTCGTGTCCATGTTCTTCCCTTAAGCGTGCGGGAAACCTATGATCGTGGGTTCGAATCCCAGATTGTGTATCGAGGTTCCCCAGCACAGGCCATGGCGCGTCACGATGAAAGCAACACAACTGGCTAAATCTCCTCAGTGTGTGTGCCTTAAGTCTTAGATTTAGTCCATGTATAATAAAATGGATATTACTTTATATATATTTAAAGGGCATCCTCTTGTGTAATCCACACAGGTCATGTTTTCCATTTAATTTAGGTGTCGGAAACA